GCTGATGAAGACATGATAAAATATGCCCAGCGCTCAATTGTTTTCTTTCACTTCAAAATTATTTCCACTCATTAAAAACTCAGTTACTATAACTTTAAATTTAAACGTCCTAATTGAACTTGCAATGTATCGTGGGTGGATTTTAGAACTGTCAAACTTTGCCGACGAGGCATTCAACTCGCAAACCGAACATCGTGAGGTTATAACTGTCAAAGTTATTATTGCAATGCTTCCGTTACAAAACGGGTGGGTTGCTGTAGCCGAACTTGCTTCATTCTATGACAAAATTAATTTAATTAAAATTTGCCCTTCATGTTGATTTTCATAACGATACCCAAAGGAGAACAAATTCCATTATTATACCAAACTAGATAATTCTTAAGTACCTACTCCATATTTCAATTTATAAAATTGAAGAAAATAATTTTAAAAAATTGGGATGGGACCGATTTAGTACCTATAAATTGGCTACATTCAATATATCGTAACGATGTTAAAGAATTGTTGCGGCAGTGTGTTTTGTTGCTACACATAAGTTATTCAAAGTAGATTCAACTGAGTGGATAGCAATCTCTTTGTAGACAGAATAATGACCGCGGCACTTAGGTGAATAACGCACGAATCGCAAACCGCGTGGAAGCGCGGATGCTCTTGCGAAAACCGCGTGAGCTTTTTGTCCATGTTCCTTCACAACACGAAGTCAAACAATCTCGAAACTATGGTTTGGAACATAAAACGCGCGAACTTGCGATGATGCGCGTGATCTCTCTACAAGTCTGACTCTGACAACCGCGGGTCCCCGCGGCCAGCCGCTCAGTTACGCGGATACCGGTGCGTTGTCGTACCTGCATGCCTATACAAATTAACACCCGCGCGACCGCCATCCTTGTGCGTTGTGTACTGAGTACACAACGTAATGTTATTCATGACAAATTCATAATAATATAATACCTAAATGGACAACATAAATTAATCTTGTAATTAGAATTACAAATTAACATTATAGAGGCTACCAAAAGGTACTTTACCCTGACGACATTATGGATTTCCATTAAGTTCCAAACAACATAAGTTTGGAAAGATTTATTAAACCTTCGGCCTTTACTAACACATTTCCTATCTCGAAATCATGACGTAAGTTATGACAGATGCTTGACGCAAAAGGTGTGTGAGTGACTGTTATTTTGATAAATGAGTTACATTTACAGTCGTCGAGCTGAAAACTTCTGAAGGGAAACTTTCTAACGAAAGTAAATATGAAGGAGAACAAAGATTTGAAGTCAATTTAGCTTTATAAACAACTTAATTATTTCTTTATAAATTTATTTTTAATTTTACTAGGTAATCAAAATAGCAGTTAAAACATAAACTGTAGTTTAGTTAAGTTCTATATTGAGCAGTAGGAAATATTATTTACATTGATTTGCTGCATGCATTACAAGTCCTTACGATGACAATAATCAAGACTTCGTTGATGGTCTTTGATCTAACAAGACTTTTATTAAAGTAGCAAAATATCAAAGCAGCTAATAAATTTGACAAGACAATCAGGCGGTCACCTTTGAAAATTATTACAAATTTTAAACCCAAGCAGTAAAACAATACTAACACAGTATTATTATTTCTAATATAGTATATTATGTTTAAAATGAATCTTTTATTACATCGCCACAATTTATTTCGTTTATCTTCAGCTTTTAGTATTATATTTTTGATTGTTATTAAAAATTAAGACATTATCAACGCGCACGTGCGGTGCAGTGGTAGAAAGCTCGCCTCTCGATCCTGCTTCGATTCCCAGGAACGAAAAAGGACTATTTTTTGTTTTTATACATTATCAAGCACGTAATTTAATTATTAAAAAAATAAAGCGAAGTGAAACACTTTTTTTGTAAAAAAGTGTCACTTGCATCGTGGTTTCATAAAACCACACACACCAATTATTATTAAATTAAAATTATTTATTTTCGTGAACAACTGAACAAAAATGAAATTAAAATTATGCAGAACCATGAGCTAGGTGCAAGATTAAATTCAGATTCTTGACTTATCTCCTGCCTGATGCATATACATATAAAAGGCCTATTTCATTAACAACCGACTTCGAAGTGATAATATAGTCTAAAGTACATAAATATCTAATAGAACACAGAATAAAATCCAATAAGGTTTTACATCAGACAACTACGGAAGAATAGACACAAGGAATAAAAATCAAGCATGATTATGATACAGAACCTTTTTCCCTGAGACACTTTTATTAGGGTAAGAGTATTGCCGGTAACATTTGCGCACATACCTTCGACTACGGTGAGACTGAACAAAACCAAATATCTTTATTTCACTTTGTATGTGTCGTAGGATGATTTGATAAATAGAATTTTAGCGAAAATCCAAGGGATTTTGCGAAAACTCGGATAATCAGACAATGGTGATGCACGGCTCAATCTTATTGTTATTTTTAATTAAAATCCCTAGAATTTTCACGGAAATTCGATTTATTAAATCGTCCTACAACATATTATAAACTATTTAGCGTAAAACTAAAGATTAAGTAATTTAAAGATCTAAAAGTTAGAAAGGGTATTTTATTGAAAACAAATACTACTTTGACTTGAAGAAATAATAACATTATTAAGTAAGTGTATTCTAGCAGTTTGTGTGGTAATCTAATCTTTATATATATAATTCTTCTGTGAGTGTGTATGTCACTGAACTTCTCTTTAACGACTGGACCAATTTTGATGAAATTTTTTGTGTGTGTTCAAGGGGATCTGAGAATGGTTTAGATTCACAATTTTGTCCGCTGGACAACCCCTATTTTTTTAGGGCGGTACGAAGTTCGCTGGGTCAGCTAGTATAGTATAAAATTATCGTGTCTCGGTGTGCGTAATTGAACTACTCCGAAACGGCTCGACCGATTTTCGTGAAATTTTATATGCATATTCAGTAGGTCTGAGAATAAGGAAGATGCAATATTTTTATTTTTGTTTTCATTTTAAAGAATCCCATGTAGAATAAACCACATTTATATTAAAAAAAATAAATATTGTAATTTATAGGAAAAAAAGCGGTTTTAAATTGACAGTTTAAATTTTCGCGCGAAAACGGACCTATGGTTTCGATGACGTCACTCCTGTCTGTCACTGGTCGTACTTGTTCGTCGCTGGCTTTCAATTAACATACTTTTGCATATTTATTCGACTTTCGAGATATTTTTTTGTAAAAATTTAAAATGGACTATCCATCAACATCAGGTGATCATAACAATACCACTAATATTCCGAAAAAAAGCTGTGTTGACTCCATGTTTTGTGCCAATGTGTCCATCTGCTTCAATAAAATTTCCAAATAAATTGTTTTTGACTTTTGATTGAATTAATTTAATTGACCCAAAACTGAGAAAAAAGTGGTTTGAAGCTGCGAAGAGAAATGACAATTATTCTCCAAAGACCATTATTCGATGCTGTGAAGATCACTTTGACGTAAGTCGGCAAATATACTTGTTATATGCTTAATTAATCTCCTTGTACGTAAAAACGCGTTAGTAACCTACCTAATACTTACAAAACCTGTCTATAACATATTTTTAATTTTACTGTTGGAGAATGACGTCGAAAATAGGATAAAGTTTAAAATGTGTGGCACACTCTACACATTGACAGGACTGAACCAAGCTTTGCGTTTCATTTAAAATAACTAACACGATAACCTTGTATACGTATTTTATGCTCCGGAGTAACTCGACTTTTTACTGTACCTACATAATTCTCCATCTCTTTTAATTTGGACATAGCCGATTGCGTTATCGCCGTAAGATTCTATTGTTGAGCTGAAATAACTGCTATGTGTAGAAGCCGCTGAATAAAATACAAAGTTTAACAACTATGATTTATACATACTGTAGTAATTTAGTCCCTACCATTTCTACACTTGAAAACTCTGCACTTTGGAAAAAAAAGATACAACCATGTCAACACTAACTCTTGGTAAATTCCTGAAATCTGCTTTAATAAACCCAACTTCCATTTTTATCAAAAAACTCAATTAATATTCCCATAAAATAATATTTACTTTTACAACCATAACCTCAAATAAGTTGTCATAACAGGAGTGACGTCACTAAACGCTGATTGGTGCTTTAAAAAACGTTTTTTTCAAGTAATTTTTAATTCGTAATTATTGTTAAAAAACAACATTATGTAAAATAAAAACGTTGCAGTAGTTTTTCTTTTATATTTTTTAACATTTTAATCATAAAATTTTCATATAATTATATATATTATATTTGCATCTTCCCTATTGTAAAACATCTATTTTTCATACCCGTAAATGTTAAGGGTAAATTAAATAATTAACCCTTCTTTTTTTATGACAAAATATTTGTTTTTATTTTTTATGATACATCATACAAAAATACATACAACACTAAATTTTCACCCTTCTACCACCAACCCCTATTTTTATGGAGGTACGAAGTTCGCTGCGACATCTAGTAAATTTATAATATCACAGGTACTATCTGTTCATATTCATTCGCTGTAAAACATCCTATTTATCTACACCTTTAAATCCTCTTTAACAGATTTTAAAATAGTTAGCTTTTTGCCAACATTAAAATAACCAATGTCCAAGTAACCTTAATAATATCATCCGAACTGTTGATCATCGGTCTACCTCGTAGGGGTCCTGCCCACTGAGCGTCCTCTGGTGCGTGGTCACCATTCAAGAGCCTTTCCGCCCCAACGGCCATCGGTTCTCATTGCTGCTACGTGTCCCGCCCACTGCCACGTTAGCAGAGCAATCCTTCGAGCAATGTCGGTTACTTTGGTTCTCCTAAGGATTTCCTCATCTCGGATTCTATCGCATAGGGAAACACCGAGCATCGCTCTCTCCATTGCTTGTTGTGTGACCTTGAGCCTTATTATTGTTAGTACCTGCATAACTTAACAAACCTGTTTTGTTCTCCAGGCACGATGTGGCGACTAGCGCCACTGGTGATGCGGCTGGCCGCTGTGTCACTGGTGGCGCTCGCGCTCGCCGAGCCGGGTCCAGAGGGGGGTGTGACGGTGATGACACCTCGCAGCCCCCCAGCTCGGCAGACGACGCAGCCCAGACGCCCCGAGCGCCGGCAGAGAAACCGGCGCCGGACAACCACCACGACCACCACAACCACTACCGTTGAGCCCGAAGAGGAGGAGGAGGACGTAGACGTCACCACGCAAATGTCCACAACCACAGTTGACCCGCGTACTTTTGATCACAGTAAGTAATAGTCTTTTTATAATTCGGAGCACCGGCAGCGCAACCGTTGCGTCGCCGGACTACTACTACCGTTGCCGTGGAGTCCAAAGAAGAGGAGGACGACGTAGAAGTTTCAACACAATTGTCCAAAAGCACAGTCGTCATTTTTTATCACAGTTAGTACTACAGTTACCAATCTACAATTTTTACAAAATTTATGATCCGTGTAGATCGTCAAACTTTCACGTCTTTTTATAATGCGGAGCGCCAGCAGCGCAATCGTCGCCGGACTACTACTACCGTTGAGTCTGAAGAAGAGGAAGAGAACGTAAAAGTCACTACGCAAATGTCCACAACCGCAGTAAACCCGCACACTTTTGATCACAGTAAGTAATAGTCTTTTTATAATTCGGAGCACCGGCAGCGCAACCGTTGCGTCGCCGGACTACTACTACCGTTACCGTGGAGTCCAAAGAAGAGGAGGACGACGTAGAAGTTTCAACACAATTGTCCAAAAGCACAGTCGTCATTTTTTATCACAGTTAGTACTACAGTTACCAATCTACAATTTTTACAAAATTTATGATCCGTGTAGATCCAGTTAACAGGATACCTTAAGTGCATTTGTACTACTAAGAATGGATATACCCCAATAGGAAAAAAGATAAATTTCAGTAACATCAAACGAAACCTTTGAAATGGCTTCGTCCACCACTATAGACTATAGACTATGCAAATGATAGGTTTAAAAAAGGCTTCTACTCTAAAACATCTAGTTATATTTGCATACACTTTTTTAAAGCAAACCTACCACAATTTTCTTCGCAGAACATCTCCTTTATCAAATTTACCTTTGTCAACTTGCTTTCTTTTGTGCTAGGATAATTAAGCGCTCATTAACTCGCACGTGGCCAGCTCATTAACTGATTAGGCAAAATTTTGTTGCAATCAGAATGATGAGCTAATTATCCATTTGAAAAGCCGAAAACACTCTGCCATTTGTTTATTTTGGTGACACAGCGATTTGCTTAATCCTTAATCTAGACAAAGCGAACTATCAAATGTCATTAGGCATTAAATTGAAATTTGCTTGGATAATAACAGAATTAGCCTTTCTCAATTGGAATCGATTTTATAATCCGAAAGATCACACATTAGCAATATTAGCCGCAACATGAATAAGTTGCCAATTCGATTTTAGTATAAAACCACATTTAGAACAACACACAATCATTATTTTAATTCAAGATTGTAATTCAGTGAATGTATGTGATGTTGATGTAATGTAATCTACACTTAAGAGAAATCATAACGGTATTTAAAGCGTCCATTAATGTAAAATATCTGCCACGCATTTCGGTAGAAATCAGTCGTAATACTGATGCTAATTGCTAGAAAACCTTTAAACTGAATAAAATCTTATTAGGATCTAGATTAACGTAGTCTTGAGATCTCTAAGACTATTAAAACAGTAAAAGGACCACCTATAGGGTTACCAAGTAACATAATTACATACATGAAGATATATGTAGGTACATTATCTGCAATAACAGGATTAAAGTGTCGGTATCATTCTGAAATAGGTCATTAAACAAAAAGTCTGGTCCCTGTCCGTGTCTTCAAATGTGACTCGTCGACATTAACTTCTAGCCTCTTTACGAACTTAATTTCAGCCGTTATGATGACCGCAAGGTTACTTAATATCAACAAAACACATTCAAACATAAGTAAATTCTTCCTCTAACGTTGTTCCTACCACTCAATGCAAATAGCTCTTAGTGGTTTCTGAAACACAGGGATTCTCTTATCTCACAAAAGACACCACAAAAGGTTTTTGTTTTTACCCTATTTTTTTTTTGCCTAATGTCCTTCCTTTTTTTATAGCCAAGTAGGCAAATGAATCTACCCCACCTGATTTTAAGTGGTGATAAAGTCCAAACGCGAAGATAGCTGGTACTGCAGTTTATAAACCGCCACACCAACCATACTTGCCGGCCTGCAAAACAAAATTCCCTGCCAATATTCCATTAAGGTACAGTTACTTACGTTCTCCAAGTTACCTTATTGTCTTGTCAAGTTCTAACGGTCGTATCCCCGAAGGGGCAGAGCGAAGGCCGCGAATATAGACAACAAATAGATTCGATACAATCGTTCAATCTCTATCAACAACTTCGTGTTTCGATTTGTTTACTCATATAGGGTGGATACTTATCAGTATCTTTTACTTGCGAATAAGAATCATTTTATTTCCGCCAATTCGGCAACTCGGGTAGACTTCCCAGAGCGAAAAGTTAATCATTTTTCTCTATTCAAGGTTTGCGAATATCAAACATTTTAGAATTCTGTTCGTTCGTACGTGTGTCTATTCATACGAGTCTTACTTCTGGTGCAGGAATAGTCATTAAAATTTTAAGCACCTTTAATCACCTATGAATCTTTCATCGATTTACTTAAACATCGACCATCTTTAAAATTTAAGGAATATTAATATTGTGTTGTAATATGTAAGTGTTTGTATGAAAAAATAAAAGCAAATAGGAGTGTCGTAGAATACTCGGTTTCAGTTTCTATTCGCCTTTTAGTTGACAGTATTCACTTGACTAATATATAATATTGTTTTGAATCCCATGTAGAGATTATTGCTTAAATAAAAATATTTTTTTACAAAATTTGACTGCAAAATAAATTGTAATTAGGCAATTCCTTTTCCGCTTCCGAATAAGTCTTGACCATCTCAAGGTTCATTTTCTTTACTTTATCAACAGCCCAATGTGCCTTCTGAAGTGCGAAAAACGCGTGATTTTAAATTTTTGGTCACCTATACTATGACTGATCATTGCGAAAGTTGCTTTTCTTCCACGATCGCAGACCGAACATGCTAACCATCTTTTATTCTATATTTTTTTTATGCACATCGCCTGTGTGAAATGCCTCTAATCTCATTACAATAAAGTTATGTACTTTTAACACACGACCTTTATCATTATCAATATCTATATCAATCTTTTTATCATTTCCATTTTTAAACTTTACATAGTGTTATCATTCTTTATTTGGTCCATTCCCTTCTGCCATCTTCGTATTAGCAACTAAATTCATCTCTCTTATTCTTAACTTGTTAAAAAATAACGATTCTGTGAACAGTACCTACAAGGGGTTCAGTTGGAGCGTGTTAACTTGCTACGGTGTCGCATTGCCATGCCGTTTTCATTTTAAGTCACATAGTTTTCAAAGGGGTCCTTAAGGAATGCTTCGGGGGTATGTGAGGGCATTTGCTCGTCACTCGGGCGGGTGTAATTTGTAAGTAACTCTCCGGTCAACGGCGGAATGTGCTGAGACGGTCGTAAGCAAAATTGCGGAACCGGCCAGCGTAATACTGTGTGCACTAATTTATAGTTACTTCAGAGCTAAGAAAATATGTAATTCAATTATTAAATATGTAAAAATTGCTTGTTACTAGGTGATTTAGAATTAGTTGTTTGATGTTGTAGTGCTTGCGCCCTGAAAATGGCATTAACAGTTGTAGTTATTTATGGCATTTGTTTTCACTACTTCATTATTCAAATAGGTAATTTAACCCTTTCATAGAAATGCAAATCCATTGTTTTTGCTCCAAGCCAAGAGGTACAGGAATCTACTTTAGCTGAACCCCCGCGGAAGAAAAAATTTCATATATACCTATTTTTTTTACAGAAAGCCACATAATATTTGACACACATAAAAGTAAAAATACTATATTTATGTCCATAACTATGATTTGTCCCCTTTGTCAATGTGTTCGCCAATTTGGCTCCTCCAGATATCAGCACTGCTGCAACATGTCGCTGTAAGGGCCGATTTTTGGCGGTAGCATAAGACAAAAACTAAAAACCGGCTTTATTATTAAAAATGGAACTAAAAATTAATAATATATAGTAGTTTTATGATTTGAAAGTCGGGCAGGGTCAGGATTGAAACACGTATACCAGATAGAAATGAAAATGTTTCAATCGTGGTCTTTCAAATCATGAACCGGTTTTTTTTAATGTTCCATTTTCGATTTTGAAGTCGTTTTTTATTTTATGTTTAAAATTATTATTATTTCATCAAAGGCAGGTATCTCCCACCGAACAAAAAAATAATTATTCAAATCGGATCAGAAATCTTTAAGTAATCGGGTAATATACGCAAAAAAATTATTAATTTTGAAAGTGTCGCATCTTCAACCCTCTACCCCTTACGTAAAAAAGATGTCAAGGTTTTTAAACAAGTACTTATATTTATATAAATAGGTAATTGCTTATCAAGCTTATTGTTTAACAATCCCAATACAATTCTGAACTTACTTAAAATTCTTCTTAAAAGAAATTTAAAAAAAAAGAAAAAAAAATGGATGCGTGTAACTTATGTACGCGCGTGAGAAGTTATACTTCTTTAGCATCATTAAAAATATTTTTTAATTGCATGCAAATAATTAATAATTACAATAAAATAATAAAAGGACTGGAAAAGGATAGTTAACACAGTCAATTAAGTTCAGTTTTAATTTGAAAAATTAAATAAATATTCTAAATATTCAATTAAAATCACTACTGAATTTAAGTTATTAGTCCATATGTAATTAGCACTTGTAAGTAACTAAAACACGTTGTGTCTATATAGAAACTAGAAACATGTGGATAAATATTAAAAATATGAAAACAGTGATCAGAGGCGACGAGCGTGCCAACATTGTTTTTGACAACGCGATCATCTTATGATGGAGCTCCGTGGATCGTTCAAACTACCTTTCGAACAGATGTCTAATAATGGTGGATTATTAACCACTAAGTGGTTAATAATCCACCATTATTAGACACTAACATTCATAACGCGCCCGCGGCCAACTTCATGGTGTTACTATTGTGTTACAGTGATGCGCGCGCATCTCGAAATTTCACTCACATGATTTTTCATAACGCGCCCGCGGCCAACATCATGCTGTTACTTTTGGGTTACAGTGATGCGCGCGCATCTAAAAATTTCACTCTCATCATTTTTTCATAACGCGCCTAAAGAAGTATAACTTCAAAAGTATCAGTAACCCGCAATACAGTAAGTAATCACAATTTTATACAGAGTATAATATTCACAAACAGCAAACTGCGCAAAGGCGATAAAAAATTTCGCTCATTATTGCTTGTTAAGTATTCAAAGCTACAGGGTAAAATGTGAAGAGAGAAAAAAATCGCGTTTTCACGCCGCGCACCATCTATCTAATAAACCTAATATTGGTTCGATACGAACCCAAGCGGCGTGAAATGATGTCCCTCTCGCCGCCCTGTGGGGAAAAGACGGCCAGCTAAGCGAGACCCCTTCCGTTTTTATTCTCTTCCGGTGAACGCGTACAAATGCCGGGAACTCGTTGAGAACTGGGAGCTGCCGTTAATCGGCCGCCCGCTGCACCCTGCCTTGTGGTATGCAATTAAAGAACTGATAAGGTGGAAAGTATTTTATGCGTTTTATTCCGTTCACATGAATAGTTCATATAATATTTATTAATTGTTAATTAATTTTTATCACACTTC